CCCTTGTTGAAAAAAGTGCTAGAATTTAATATTAGTGATTTAGCAACCAGACACTTTGAATATAAAAGGTGCCTAAATAAAATCAACAGCATTATGAAAAGAAAATACGTGTCTCATTAGTCTACTGAAGTGCTTCCCTAACTACTTAACGAGAAGAGTAGATAATTGGGAGACAGTGGATGGAAGCTATATGGGTTTTCAGAAGGTATTCAAACAGCTGCCAGACAAGCAATTAAAACATTCCACACCTGCTGAGGTTACCATGATGAACTCTCCTTCTCACCCTCTCCTCTTGTTTGAGGCCTGGTGACCCTTAGCTTAAACAACCAGTTATCTATCTCTGATAAGAGAGCAGCCCTATGGTCTGGGAGGGCAATGGCAACTTTACCATTTGGCATGGGATGATATTAATAAGGATTAAAGCTGGTTAATGGACAAAATAGAAGATGATTGCAAAAGGATTAAGATAAAAGAACCAGAAGTCTTGTGACAATTGTGCAGGACTTTGGCGAGACTAAATCTGAAAATACTGTACACAGTTTTGCTGTCTATATTCAAGGACAAATATGCTAGCTTTGGAGGCAGGACAGCAAAAGTTCATTAGACTTACTTCTTGGGTAAGAGGTTCTCTCTTGACCAGAAGCAGAGTAAATGGGGCTCATACTCTCTGGAGTTTGGAATTATTCAAGATGATCAAATTGGACCAAGATTCTGAAGGGGCTACCTAGTAGAAAGTGAAGGGTTATTTTTGGTTCTGGCCGGGTAATCTACAGCACCAGGACACAGTCTCAGGAAAGAAAGGTCAATCATTTAAGGAGATGAGGAGAAATTTCCTCACTTGGAAGGCTGTGATTCTTTAGAAATAGGTGATAGAAGGTTACGAATACTCCATCATAGAGTATATTCAAGATTGAAAAATCAATAGATTTTTGAACTCAGGGAAGAAAAAACAAATTGCTGGAGGAACTCAGTAGGCCTGGCAGCATCCTTGAAGAGAAAAAAAGGTTAATGTTTAGAGTCCATGATATACAAGGTGTAGAGATGGATGAACACAGCAGGGCAAGCAGCATCAGAGGAGCAGCAAGGCTGACGTTTCAGGCCTAGACCCTTCTTCAGAAAGGGTTAGGGTTAGGCCTGCTGTGTTCATCCAGCTCTACATCTTGTACATCTCAGATTCTGCAGCATCTGCAGTTCTTACTATCTCTGAATGTTTAGAGTCCACTGACTTTCCTTCAGATCTTTGTTTCAAAGTTCTAGCATTTGCAATTCTTTGTTTTATTTGATCTCAGTGAAATTAGCTATGAGGAATGGACAGGATAGTGAAGTTAAGGCTGATCGCCCATTGAAGTATAAAGCAGGTGAGTGACCAATTGCTCTACACTCATTTGTGTTCTTATATTCCTAAACTGACATTTTCAGGATAACAATGTGCAATTACTGGACAACTGGAAGGAGGGAGAAACAGACTACTAATCATAAACACTATCTTAAAAGGTCACAATGCTGTAAAAAGTGTGTAAATATACAGGACAGACTGCAAAGATGAATCACAAGGATTATGCCAGAAATGCATACGTACATGTTACAGAAAGCAATGGACAGGCTAGGTCACTTCATGGTTCAAAACAAAGAGACAGGTAATCAAAACAACATCTTGAAAATTATGAACAGTTTTGTTAGCATCGTACCAGAGTGAATACTTCCTCTTCTCAGGAAGAACACAACTAGAAACTGCCATTATAAAAGCTACCAAGAAATCCAATGGGGAAATCAAGAAGAAACTTCTTCACCCAGAATGGTCAGAATGTGGAGCGTTCTATCACGGGAAGTAACTGAAGAGTATAGAACAGATTATTTATGCAGGGACTATGGGGAATAGATGGTTAAAATAGTAGATTTAAATGAGAAAAGATAAAGAAGGTTAAAGTGGAGTATAAACAAACATGGACTGGTTGGATTAAATGGCATGTTTCTGCTCATAAATCCTGCACAAGCTAAGCTATTCGCATTTTATGGGATAAAAAGGGCAGGTTAGAAGGTTTTAGGTTGTTCGGGCAGTAAATAAACCATACGCTCATTTTGCTATTTGAGGTGATCATTTTCGTAGAGGACATTAAGTCCCATAAGGACCATGTGATTAGACAGCAGCAACAACTCTGGTTTAGAATCAGCTTTCCCCACTTGTAATTCCCCCACTGACTACCTGCCCTTATTGAGTGTACGTACAACAGAAGAGAATTAGTTGATTATGGATCATTTTTGAATGTAACAAAATTCAACATGGTTTACTTATGAGTCAAAGCTACTGCAACAAAATCTACAGTAACAACCATTGCCCACAAGACCACAGTAAACTAAGGAGATCAAGATCTTTGGAAAAGGAGTAAAAAAAAAAAAATGTATTTTTGTGTTACACAGACTTATCAATGTTGTACTTCATAATGGGATTTTAAAATTACTTAACTATAAAATCACACTAAAACAAATGCACAGAAATTATCAAACTGAATGACCTCTGGTATGGAACGACTCGCTTATAAGCAAAGGTTAAACAGGTTGGGAGTCTGAGTTTAGAAGACAGACAAGTGATCGCACTGATACATATAGGATTCTTAAAGGATTTGGCAGGTTAAGTGCCAACAGGATGTTTCCCCTCATGGGAAGAGTCTAGGACCTGAGGGCATAGCCTCAGAATAAAAGGGACTTCAATTTAAGACTACGATGAGTAGGAATTCCTTCTCTCGGAGGGCTGAGTGGCTTTGGAACTCCTTGTGAAAATGCTGTGGCTATTTAAGGCTCAGATAGATAGATTCTTGATCAGTAGGGGAATCAAGGGTCACAGGGAAAAGGCAGGAAAGTGGATGTGCGGAATGTCAGATCAGTGGAGCAGGTTTCAAGGGCCAAACGTTCCCATTTCTTACGGTCTTATGAAATAGTTAGACACACTTGAGTCAATGGATTGCAGTTTCAGGACAACATCTCCAGAACTTTAAGTACACAAACAACATCTTTAGCACAGTGCTTAGAGAAGGACACAGGTTTGTTGAGGCTGTCACTCTTCACATTACCTTAAATCAAGGCTCACCTGCATATATTGCTAAAAGATTCATGGCACTGAATTATCAGAGAATAGTTTTTGCTTTCTTCTCAAAAGCCACCAAAAGATACATTAGCTGGTTATTCACATGTCTCCTTTGAACCCTGCTCCCAGATTGACTGCAGCTTTAGCATGAAAATGCAGAATGCAACTGAAAAATTAATTAATTGGTTGAGAAATGCTTTGGCAAGTCTAGAAAAAAATTCACAGACAAATAGCTCACATTTATACAGTACCTTGTATACTGAGAACATCTCTAAGCACTTCAATCAATTAATTACTTCCAAAAAGCAGTCTGTAATACATGCAAATACAACAGTCAAATTACGTGTAACAATGTCACACCATCATTATACGAGGGTTTTGAAAATTTGGTCTGTTTTGGTTGGACTAGTTGAGATAAGATGATCAAGGAGAATTTCCTATTCAGCAAATGATACAATGGAATCATTTACTCAAGCTGAATAACATAACTTGGCCTTATTTTAATTCCTTGTTACTTTAAATGTAACACCCCTCAACAAGCAGAGCTTTGTAATATGTTCACCTCATATGAGTTCGTTAGGTGGACTTGGAAACAATACAGCAATAAAGTACTATCACCAAGCCAAATACCAACAACTAGACACTGATAATTGCATATTAACTTTCCAATTTGTATGGAACACAAGGAAACAGAATGAAATAAAGATCTTACTTCATATTTTCATTGGGGAGCACAAGCACCACTGGCATTCCAGATGAATATTACATAAGTGCCCAAAGTAATTTAAACACTTAAGAAGTCAAAATAAATACTTCTGAAAACCAATGGTGGCCATATATGCCTGCTAACCAACAGCCTTTAATTTGTAGTAAAAAAAGTAAAGAACTGCAGGTGCTGTAAATCAGAAAAAAAATTAAAAATGCTGGCACAGGTGAGTAGGTCTGATAGCATCTGTGGAGAGACAGATGCTTTCTCTCCACAGATGCTGCCAGATCTGCAGAACTTTTCCAGCAGTTTTTATTTTTGTTTCAGCCTTTAATTCTTAGTTAACCAAATTCACACTTAAATGTGAACATAACTGATCCACAAATAAGCAAATTTTAGAATTGATTTGGAACTTTCAATAATCAAATTACCCAACTGTGAACTACTTGAAGATGGCAAAACAGTACCATGTTAATAAATAAAAGCAAAATACTGTAAATGTTGGAGATTCAAAATTAACACAAAGCCCTGAGAAACTCAGCAGGTCTTGACAGCATTTGTGGAGAAATGCAGTGTTAACGTTTTAAGTCAAATACGACTCTTCTTGGGATTGGATAAGTGATGCTGACCTTATGCTGTAGAAGGTTGGGAGGGGGGGATGGGTATGTAAAGAAAGACGATACCTTACGCATTTGGAACAGGCAGAAGTAAGATCCCGCTTGTATTGCTTTTTTTTCCTCCCCAGTTGGGTTAAAAGCTTTAGGGCGTCTGAAGCCCACCACCCCCCACAGCTAGGTGGGTTTCCATTGTGTGTGTGTTTACTGTTACTTTAAAAACATAACCTGCCGAGTAAACACCGCACTGCGGCCGCTGTAAACATTCAACCACAAAGCCTCAAATACAGCGGAACACGCAACTCGGAGCTGGCGTGCAAGGTTTTGGGGGGGGGGGGGGGGGAAGGGGGGGGGCCTGACCTCCCAGGCCCCCCCACCCTGTATGTCCCTGCAACACGTGAAGATTTCACCCTCTGCCTACAACACGCCGCTCAGACAGCACTCTCTGTTCGCCGCAGCCCGGGCCTCTAACTAACTAACCATCCATTCATTCATTCATTCATTCATCCATCCATCCATCCATCCATCCATCTATCTATCTATCCGTTCGTTCGTCCACCTATCCATCCGTTCATCTACCGACCGATCCCTCCCTCACCTGTACCTACGCTCCGCAACCGTCGCTCCCGCCCGGCCGCTTCACAGCCACCGCCGCGCGCTAATGGCGGACACCAAAGAGACCACTTCCCATTGGTCGCCCCCTCCCCGCCTGACGTCAGGGAGCACGGAACCGGCCAATTAGAAGCCACGAGCCCGCCGGGTGCCGGAGTCGTCGGCTCTTAAAGGCGACCGAATTTTAATCTGCCGGCTGAAAATAGAGCCTTCGGAGAGACGCTGACGGGCCGCAGAATAACCGTCCATTCCCAATAGGTTTCGGTGCGAAGGCATCGAATGCTCACGAAAAGGCGCGATGTAATTGCAGGACATGTACTTCCCTATGTTAATGAGTATACAGGTTTGTCTCGGAGACTCCAGGATTTGAAAATTACTCGTTCAGGCTCACCTCCCTTCAATATTACTGGGCTTGATTAACCAAAACAAAACGTTGTTTTCATTTATTTATTAATCATTGCAACGAAAGGTTTCTGATTTACGCATTACAGTGTGTAGAGTCCATGTTTTAGAATGGGTAGCGTATGGGGGTTGGTTACTTTTCTGAAGGGTTCAAAAATAAATCAGACAATCCTTGCAGAATACCGTCCTGATCCAGTGTATGTCAGCGAGCAGGAACCTCTGGAGTGACAATGGAAGTAGGATAAACAATGAGATCAGTTGGTTTGGTTTTGGTGCAGAAAAATCAAAGGTTGATTTTTTTTGTTTTAGCTTTGGAAATCCAGAGTTTGAAAGTTTTTGGTTAGTTCAAACAGGGCTTAGTAGGCAAAGCAGGAGGCTGGAAGAAGACAGCAGGCCAGCTAGCATCTGGAGGAAAGGAGCTGCCAACGTTTTGGGTATTACCCATCTTCAGGACTGGATGTGGGGGGAGGGGGAGCTGCAGATAAATGGGGGATCGGGGTATCAGATTGGTGGTGATAGGTGGACACTGGTAATAGGTACGACCTGGCTGGTCGATGGGATGGTTGAATCATTTGGTGGCTGGAAGGGAGGGTCAGTAGGTGGAATGGAAGGAGCTGGGGGATGGCTGGGAATGTTATTTGAAATTGGAGAACTCAATGTTGAGTCCTCCGGGATGTAGGGTGCCCAGGCAGAAGAAAAGGTGTTGTTCTTCAAATTTGCGTTCTTGTCCGCTGCGACACTGGGGGAAGCTGAGGACGGACATGTTGGGGGGGGGCGCAGCTGGTGGCGGTGGTGTGTTGAAATGGGCAGTGACTGGGAGGTTAGGCTGGCCATCATGGGCGAGGTGAAGGTGCTCCAAACGGTCACCTAGTCTACGGTTGGTCTCACTGATGTAGAGGAGGCCACATCGGGAGCACCAGATGCAATCTGACCTGGCAGGGCTGTTTGAGGCCTTGGATGGAGGTGAGGGAGATGGTGTGTGGGCAAGTGTTGTTGTATCTTTTCTGGTTAGAGGGGAAGGTACTGGGCGGGTTGGAGTGCTTGGTGGGGAGTGTGGCACGAACTAAGGAGTGGCGAAGGGAATGGTCCTCGCGGAATGCAGAGAGGGGTGGGGAGCGGAAGATGTTCCAGGTGGTGGGTTCTTATTGGAGGTGGCAGAAGTGTTTGAGGATGATATGTTGGGTGCAGAGGCTGGTGGGGTGAAAAATGAGGACATGGGGGGGGTGCTATCTATATTATGTTTGGTGGGGGGGGTGGTTAAGACCTGTGCAGTGGGGAATGGAGGAGGTGCAGTGTAGGGCTGTCTGGATGTCAGAGGGAGGAATAGAGCGATATTTGATAAAGGCGGACATCCAGGATGCTTCTCAAGACTTGATTGGGGGTCAGAAGCCATTCCTCTCTTTAAAAGGGATATTGAACAGTTCAGGGAAAGCACTCTTGACCTCAGTAGAAAAATAATAGTCTGTACAGCTTTTAGACCAGAAGTGTTTAGTCAAAAAATCTGCAAATTATTAAAAACTGAAAAGATTTAAGATCTTAGATTTGTCAGTATTCATGTAAGAAGATTTAACAGTACACAAAAGAACTGGAGGTATTCAGTTTTGTCAAACTTAAAGATTTTATATTCAGGACTTTTGTACTGCTGTAGCGTAATGAGTTTGGGAAGTAAATTGAAACTTCGGTTTGCTGGGTGTTTAAGATTTTTTTTCCCAGCTGAGCTGTAAATCTAGATAACTTAGTTTGTTAATTTTGTCTTTTCAGTAGTAGCCTTCTGTTTTCTTAACTCAAAACTTTTAACTGTTTCTGTCTTTGCGGATGCTGTCAAACCTGCTATGTTTTTCCAGCACTTTGTTTTTATTAGAAATAATTGTTTAATGCTTCTATCATCTTTCAGTCATTACCTGTGATTGTTTCCTATCTATCTCTCAATGGTCCTATTATCAGGCTAATCATTCATTTTTGTGGGATGTGGGTGTCGTTGGCTGGCCAGCATTTCTTGCCCCTCCATAGTTGCCCTTCAGAAGGTGGTGGTGAGCTGCCTTCTTGAACTGCTGCAGTCCTCCTGCTGTGGGTTGACCCACAATGCTATTATGGAGGCTGTTCCAGGATTCTGACCCAGCGACAGTGAAGGAATGGCGACATCTTTCCAAGGCAGGATGGTGAGTGACTTGGAGGGGAACTTGGAGGTGGTGGTGTTCCCATATGTCTGATGCCTTTGTCCTTCGAGGTGGAAGTGATCGTGGGTTTGGAAGGTGCTGTCTGAGGATCTTTGGTGAATTTCTGCAATGCATCTTGTAGTTAGTACACACTGCTGCTACTGAGCGTCGGTGGTGGAGGGAGTGGATGCTTGTGGCTGTAGTACCGATCAAGCAGGCTGCTTTGTCCAGGATGGTGTCAAGCTGCTTGAGTGTTGTTGGGGCTGCACTGATCCAGGTAAGTGGGGAGTATTCCATCACACTCCTGCCTTGTGCCTTGTAGATGGTGGACAGACTTTGAGGAGTCAGGAGGTGAGTTACTCGCCGCAGTATTCCTAGCTTCTGGCCTGCTCTTGTAGCCACTGTGTTAATGTGGTGAGTCCAGTTGAATTTCTGGTCAATGGTAACCTCCTGGACGCTGATAGTGGGAGATTCAGTGATGGTAACACCATTGAATGTCAAGGGACAGTGGTAAGTTTGTCTCTTATTGGTGATGGTCATAGCCTGGCATTTGTGTGGCGTGAATGTCACTTGCCACTTGTCAGCCCAAGCCTGGATATTGTCCAGATCTTTTTGCATGTGAACATGGACTGCTTCAGCATCTGAGGAGTCATGAATGGTGCTGAACATTGTGCAATTGTGCAATCATCGGCGAACATCCCCACTTCCGACCTTATGATGGAGGGAAGGTCATTGATGAAGCAGCTGAAGATGGTTGGGCCTAGGACACTACCCTGAAGAACTCCTGCAGAGATGTCCTGGAGCTGAGACGATTGACCACCAACAACCACAACCATCTTCCTATGTGTCAGGTATGACTCCAGCCACCAGAGAGTTTGCCCCCTGATGCCCATTGATTCCAGTTTTGCTAGGGCTTATTGATGCCACACCCATTGGCATGCAGCCTTGATATCAAGGGCTGTCACTCTCACCTCACCTCTGGAATTCAGCTCTTTTGTCCATGTTTGAACCAAGGCTGTAATGAGATCAGGAGCTGAGTGGTCCTGGCAGAACCCAAACTGGGTGTCACTGAGCAGGTTATTTCTGAGCAGGTGCTGCTTGATGGCACTGTTGATGACACCTTCCATCACTTTATCGATGATCGAGAGTAAACTGATGGGTCTGTAATTGGCTGGGTTGGATTTGTCCTGTTTTTTGTGTACAGGCCATACCTGGGCGATTTTACACATTGTCGGGTAGACGCCCACGTTGTAACTGTACTGGAAAGCTTAGCTAGGGGAGTGGCAAGTTCTGGAGCACAAGTCTTCAGTACTATTGCCGGAATATTGTCCGGGCCCGCAACCTTTGCGGTATCCAGTGTCTCCAACCGTTTCTTGATATCACGTGGAGTGAATTGAATTGGCTGAAGACTTGTATCTGTAATGCTGGGGACCACTTGAGGAGGCCAAGACGGATCATCCACATGGCACTTCTGGCTGAAGATTGCTGCAAATGCTGTGGGTTTGGAGTCACATGTAGGCCAGACCAGGTGAGGGTGGCACATTTCCTCCCCTGAAGGACATTAGTGAGCCTGATGGCTTTTTCCAACAATCGGCAATGATTTTATGGTGATCAGTAGATTCTTAATTCCAGATATTTTTTATTGAATTCAAATTCCACCATCTGCCGTGGTGGGATTGAACCTAGTTCCACAGAACCTGGATTAATAATCTAGCGATAATACCACTAGGCCATTTATTTTATTATTACCTATCAAATATTTTGTTATTTTGTTTTACTTCATAATTTCAACTTCATAATTCCTCTTTGCCTTCCTAATTTTTGTCTTCCCTCCTAATCTCTACCCATTTTCTTCTGTCATGCAGTCTTCTGCTTTCTGTAGACTTAATGTATGCCTCTTTTGTAAACCTCAATTGCTTCTTTACATCTTTATTCATCCGTGGAGTCTCACTCGTGTTTGCTTTTTTTGTGCTTTTAACTGATTATATCTTTCCTGTTGAACAGTTTAACTCTTTCCAGTTGTTCCACATTGTTGTTTGATAATATTGTCGGCCCTTTTGTTTTCCCAAGTTCCATTCTCAGACCGTCATAATCAGCTTTTCTCCAATTTATCAACCTGGTTTTCATCATAATTATGTCTTTCTCTATTATCTTAACTCCCATTATTTTTTTGGTTGCTACCGGCTGGATGTTTCACTACTGTTTTTATTTGTCTGAAGTTCTGAGGAAGGACCATTAGAGCCAAAACATTAACTCTGCTTCCTCACCACAGTTGCTGCAAGGCCTGCTGATTTTTTTCCAGCAATTTCTGTTTTTGTTTCTGATTTTCAGCATCCTCGGTTCTTTGGCTTCTTTTTACCTTGTCTTACACGATCTGGTTCATTTGCAGTTATTGGATCTATTAGTGACTCTTCCCTTGTGGGGCTTTTCATGTTCTCTTTTAGAAATTAGTCCTGTATATATTTTAGGCGCTCCATTCCCTTATCCCCTCTACTTAACTCTTCTAATTAATACTGCTGTGTTTTAAATC